AATTCCATCCCAGGATGATTTCATGAGACGCATGCGGAAGGACGACAAATTCTACGATGTAAAGCACTCCTTGAATCACAACACGAGCAGTGCATGTGGCAGAAGGTTGGACGTGTTGCGAACTCGCCGTGCGTAAAGAAATTTCAACCAGTGGAGTCGTCACTTTGTTCAGTTTGCGGCATAAAACTTCACTGATTATACAAATAGCGGCACCTGTGTCGACAAGAGCAGTTGTGGCGAAACCGTCCACAAACACGGAAATCTCGTTAGGGGGCGATAGATGAGGCCTTGGAAATTTCGTCGGTGGCGCAGCTCTTGCCTCAGGAACTGCGACTGTTAGTTTTCCTCCTGGGCGTGGTTGGAACGGCGAAGCATGGGAGAAGGAGACCGAAGACGGGGTGAAGGAGATCGACGTCGGCTGAAGTCTGGTCGACGTGAGCGGGGGTCATGCGAATCAGGTGTCACATGCAATTCTGATGGCCGAGGTATGTTGCCGGAATGCTGCACATCATTAAAATAGAATCCACGGCGACGACAGTAGCGCGCGACATGTCCTGGAATACCACAGTTGTAGCAGATGGGCCGGTTATCCGGAGTACGCCAAGAGTTGACAGGTGTTCGAGGTGGTGGGATGGGCCGATTTACCGGATAAACTGAAACTGGTGACCTGTAGTAGTTGGTGGCTGGACTGTATGAAGGGAGCGGCGGTTGGGCAGAAGGTCGGCGGATGGCTTCTGCATAGGTCAGCGGTGCAGCCACTGATATTGGGGATGTGGGCGAAGGGAGAGCCTCGGCAACTTGCGTCTGAATAGCACGGCGAAGTGAGTGGTCCAGTGTTGTGGGGGTCTCGTTGATGGTGGCGACAAGAGAGAGCTGTCGAGCAACTTCCTCCCGGATGTACTGTTGAATTTGAGGCATTAACACGCTGTAGTCGGGGCCACTGCTTTTGCACTCCAAGGCCGAAATATCAGCTGTCTGCGTATTAGCGCGACGTGTAGAAACTCGTTGCTTGCGCAGCTCATCGAAACTTTGACATAACTGAATCAAGGCCGTGACGGTCTGTGGGTCTTTGGCCACAAGCATATGAAAAGCGTCATCATCAATGCCTTTCATTATGTTCTTTATTCTGTCAGCCTCCGTCATCCTGGCATCAACTCGCCTACAGAGGCTGATCACATCCTCAATGTAGCTTGTGAAGCTCTCACCATTTCGCTGAAATCGTCCCCGCAGTCCCAGTTCAGCGCGAAGCTTACGCATGGCTGGACGACCGAAAAATGAGGTGACGGCCTCTTTGAAAACCGACCAGGTGGGGATGTCGGCTTGGTGGTTGGTGAACCATAGGTTGGCCAAATCCGTCAAGTAGAAGATGACGTGAATCAGCTTCGCAGGGTCATCCCACTTGTTAATTGCGCTGGCATGCTCGTACTCTGCCAGCCAGTCCTCGACATCTTGATCTTCAGTGCCGTTGTATACTGGTGGGTCACGCAGACGAAGTACACCAGAACACATGACGGGTGGCAGCGTGGAAGAGCCTTGTGGGGGATCGACGCGCTCGGTCATCGTGGACTGAGATGGTAGCTTACGGCTGCGGAGCTCCAGGACTTACCCAGCACGTTTCCACCAAATGCAACGAGCAAGGTTGCGTAAAAACACAGGTTATTATTCCAGAAACGTTAGCCGCAACACGCTGGTACAGGCAGGAACCCGGCAAGCACGAGCCACACACGGACGTCAACGTCTTCTTTCACGCTGGCACAGAGCTGGCGCCACTATGTGCTTCGGTACAATATATATATATATTTATATATATATATATATATTTATATATATATATATATATATATATATATATATATATATATATATATATATATATATATATATATATATATATATAAGGGAAAGAGGTGTATACCTAAGGGCTCGTTTTTCCGTGTTTTAACACAATATTACTGAGATCCAACAGACAGTAATGCCAAGGAATGTACAGGGGAAGTTATTAAAACCAATGTAATGTAAATGAGAAGAAAGAAAAGTGGATGAAAAAATAACAAACCGTGGGCAGGAATCGAACCTACGACCTTTGAATAACGCGTTCGATGCTCTATCCACTGAGCTACCACAGCGGCCTTCCCTTCATCCGCTTTTTTGGGCTTATATGTGAATTTAGAAGTAGGAGCGACAGGCAGCGCCATATATAAGCCCAGCAACGAGTGTGAAAACACTCTTATGCGTATGTTCGGCGTGACGTAGCACGTGAACTTATTATGAGCGGGCAGCTGATTAATTGTCCCTCTTATACAACCTAAACACACCAAGTCTGCCATTACGAGACCCTCGTTCAATGAAGTAAGGGAAAAAGGTGTATACCTAAGGGCTCGTTTTTCCGTGTTTTAACACAATATTAATGAGATCCAACAGACAGTAATGCCAAGGAATGTACAGGGGAAGTTATTAGAACCAATGTAAAGTAAACGAGAAGAAAGAAAAGTGGATGAAGAAATAACCAACCGTGGGCAGGAATCGAACCTACGACCTTCGAATAACGCGTTCGATGCTCTATCCACTGAGCTACCACAGCGGCCTTCCCTCCATCCACTTTTTTGTGCTTATATATGAATTTAGAAGTAGGAGCGACAGGCAGCGCCATCTATAAGCCAAACAACGAGTGTGAAAACACTCTTATGCGTATGTTCGGCGTCACGTAGCACGTGAACTTATTATGAGCGGGCAGCTGATTAATTGTCCCTCTTAAGCTACATAAACACACCAAGTCTGCCATTGCGAGACCCTCGTTCAATGAAATAAGGGAAAGAGGTGTATACCTAAGGGCTCTTTTTTCCGTGTTTTAACACAATATTAATGAGATCCAACAGACAGTAATGCCAAGGAATGTACAGGGGAAGGTATTAAAACCAATGTAATGTAAATGAGAAGGAAGAAAAGTGGATGAAAAAATCACCAACCGTGTGCAGGAATCGAACCTACGACCTTCGAATAACGCGTTCGATGCTCTATCCACTGAGCTACCACAGCGGCCTTCCCTCCATCCACTTTTTTGGGCTTATATGTGAATTTAGAAGTAGGAGCGACAGGCAGCGCCATCTATAAGCCAAACGAGTGTGAAAACACTCCTATGCGTATGTTCGGCGTCACGTAGCACGTGAACTTATTATGAGCGGGCAGCTGAATAATTGTCCCTCTTATACAACCTAAACACACCAAGTCTGCCATTACGAGACCCTCGTTCAATGAAATAAGGGAAAGAGGTGTATACCTAAGGGCTCGTTTTTCCGTGTTTTAACACAATATTAATGAGATCCAACAGACAGTAATGCAAAGGAATGTACAGGGGAAGTTATTAGAACCAATGTAATGTATATATATATATATATATATATATATATATATATATATATATATATATATATATATATATATATATATATATATATATATATATATATATATATATATATATATATATATATATGTGTGTGTGTGTGATAGCTCAGTGGATAGAGCATCGAACGCGTTAATCGAAGGTCGTAGGTTCGATTCCTGCTCACGGCTGGTTATTTTTTCATCCACTTTTCTCTCTTCTTTCTTCTTATTTACATTCCATTGGTTCTAATAACTTCCCCTATACATTCCTTGGCATTACTGTCTGTTAGATCTCAATAATATTGTGTTAAAACACGGAAAAACGAGCCCTTAGGTATACACTTCTTTCCCCTATATATATATATATATATATATATATATATATATATATATATTTATTTATATATATATATATATATATATATATATATATATATATTTATACATATATATATATATTTATATATATATATATATGCCCAAATTTGTTATGGCATTTATTTCTGGCATCTCAGCGAGCTTCAGCGGTGTCGTTGGTTGCCTCCTCAAAGCACAAAATCTGGCCTGACTGCGGATGTAGTTCTACACGGTACTCAATATTCCCCTGGTATTTAGCTTGTTTTTCGGTTGAAGGTGCTATGATGATGATGAAGGTGCGATGAAGGTGCCCTCACACAAAATTCTCAGTATACAGTGATGTCCTTGAACCATTTACGTGCGAAATCAAACTGGAGGGGGAGTACACGAAACAGGGGAGACAAAGTTAAAACAGCTCGTGTATTGGAACAATATAAAAACATTCGGAAACACCTGATGAAATATTTGGCCCAAGAGCAGCAGAAGCAATGTTCGTGAGCAACATGCTCGCCATACCTTGAATAATACACACACACGGAAGTTTTCGAGTGTATTCATCAAGGCATACGCATGACCAGCAGTGACAGTTCAAAAAAGCACAGCGCAGGCGTTATGCAAACACAATGTCAAGCATTTCGTGCCCAAGAATAGGACCATTAGCGAACAAGCCACCGAGACACTCATTTAACTTCAAACTACCATTGTTCAAAATATTCAGCAGCTTTACGAGCTATCCATGTAGCAAGAAAAACAATCAAAATTAAATTTTGGCATTTCTAGCGAGGAGTTTTACAGAGATGATAGTTCAGAATTACATTATATTTGTGACGATATCCTGCACGTTCCGTATGATTAACGTTATAAAAACGTTCATGCTTTACGGGTTTTTGAAGTGATCAATCAACTATTTTGCTAGCTGAAGAATCGCGTTTTAGACGTGCTAACTCATTATTACCAGCCTTCGAGAATTTAAGCAACGAATGTATATTTAACCTTTCTAAGGACTACAGACTTGCACGAGTGGCTATAGACCGATACAGTGATGCCACGTACCACACAAGACTGCCTAAATGTGAGGTTGTGTGTGTCTTCTCTTTCTCTTACTCTTCCTCTCTTCTTTCAATCTCTGCCATTTGTTTCCCGTATGCATGATATCATAATGTTTATGTATAACTGATAGGCCTGTCTCTTCTGTTTTTTTTCTTTCACAAATACTTTGGGACCAGTTTGTGATCTTTTTTCTGTTTTTTTTTTTTCAGAATGCATGCTGTGGGTGAAGCCCGCCTTCGTCGATGATATTCCTCGGCACTGCCGTAAAAACTACAAGCGAAAGTGCAGCGTTAGATATCCTACGTACGATAGTGAACTGTGTAAGGAAAACTAATAAAAGCAGCATGTTGTCGAAGCAACGTATGTGTACCCTTGCAAGTGCATTACGCTCATATTTTACGTGTATACACCTAAAGGACTCAATTAAGAATGCCTTCAAGAATGATATGCTTGTGGAAACGAAAAAATGGGGTCACTGATGAACATCCATATATTTTCCGTGCAATTGCCCCCACTCGAATGAAGTATATTTTAAAAACAACCCCTCCCATAAACAAAAGCTTCAAGCAGTGATCCCCATTATTCTTTGAAGCTATGGCCTAGTTTTGAACCCACAACTTGGAAAATGTTGTAGATGCAAACCGTAACGACATGAAGCCACTGGCTGAATAATAGGACTCACTTCACTGTGTCGATGACGTAGAATTGACACTTTTGAACTGCTTGGCTTTTTGTGCGCTCACACTAAACAGCTCGAGCCTCACCGCTTAGCAAACATGGAATAGCTAGATTGTCTTCAAGATTACCGAGGAAAGTAAGGATAACGAGAAAACCATCATGAACTTCACGCCAGTTATATCTCTTTGGCAAATTTTGTTGATTTATTTACTGTGGCCGTCATTCTCATATTAACTGCGGACAGTTCTGCAATTTTCTGCATTCCTCGTTGCACGGCATGCTTCGTCTTGTCTGGGTGGCCGAATGCGCCTGGCAATCTTCGCATTGTCTTTCACTAATAACGACGACTTTATTTGTGAATATAAACTTCACTGCAACACAAAATATTGAAAAGCCAGCCTCCGAAAAGCCTGCTTACGTCTATATTCTTGAAATCGACTTGACAACTTAACAGCAATGCATTGTGGCGATTACAGTTCTGTATGAGTAACACAAGTCATCTTGTACGAAAATAGTCAGGCCTCAGGACCTTGTTTAGTTAACCACGAGGTTGTTTAGACTGTCCGGAACGTGTGCTTGGAAAACCGAAATGCTGATCATTAAGAACCGGCTCGCGCTCTCTGGGTCTGCCTGACATAACGTCCTTCTATTCTCTGCTCTCAGAACACGTCCACTGATTTCGCCAGTGTGGCCTGCAATAATAAGCGTTATGGATGGGTGAAATAAATACATTCTTGGCGAAAAACATTCTTAATATGACAGGGTTTAAACCAACGTATCTTTGATACCAAGACGTCTGTTATAACCACTCGGTTATCCTTACGCTTAGCATAATACAGTAAAGAGAAATGAAGAAGTAGGCAAAAGGAATAATTTCAAGGACGAAAGATATGATGTTGAGGTGACAAGTAGGATAGAAGGGAGTCAAGCTCTGTATATGGGGAATGAGAAGTACATAACAAACAAGTGCAAAAAGAGTAAGAGAGATAATAAAAGAAAGAGAGAAAAGGAACGTAATGAAGAAAACAGCGACAAAAAGATAGAAAGAAGGAAGAAGCAAGCGAGAAACAGTGTCAGTGAAATAAAGCGAGAGATGATAAAAATACAGATAGAAATATCAAAAAAGGGCTGGAAGCAGAGGACACAGGGAAAAACACCAAAGCTTAAATGATGAAAAAAACGCATGGATAAGCGGAGAGGACAGAAAAAAAATTGCCTCATAACATGTACAGTGAGGATTGATGATACGCAAAGCACGAATAAAGAACATTGATGCGTCACTTTAACATCAGCACAACGGTTACAGTGTAGACAAAAATTATTATGTGCATGACTTTCCCGTCATTACTATCGTGCTTACACGTGTCACTAACCTCTGTTGCCTGTTCGCGTCACATAATACCGAATTTGGTATATGTGTAGCTATCGAAACGGCCATGATCACGCTATGAGCGTAGTATGTCTATTGAAGCTTGGTCAGCAAGCTTCTATAGGTGAGGGGTAAATGCACAAATGCTCATGCTATGCGCCGTCTGCATTGGTTTTCGGTTCAAGATATGCGTGGCACGCACAGTCACTGACCACATTATCGAAGCTGTAGACATATCTTCTCTTTCGATTGTGTTGCAGTCTTATCGCTTGCAAATTCATGGCTGGTTGTGCAGCTCTCGGTTTCTCGAGTTCAGGCACCAAATGGAAAAAGGTGATAAAATTTACTTAAAATGAAAATGTAAAATTGAAAGGCGTAGCAATAAGGAGATCCGGGGTTATTGGTATAGCCTTTGGATGCTTTCCGTGTGGTGTGGTGGGTGATATTTGTCCGAAATGCTGCATGGATGGTTTCGTTTGTCTGACCCATTCAGTATTTACGTACTGGCCAATGATTATGTAACGGCACGTTGACTATGTGCCGTCGACATTTCGGCCACACGAAAGAAGAATTGAGGCATCAAGACGGAAGCACGAAGGCGTTTGGGTGTGTAGCTGTTTATTAGCACAACCACAATTACTATCTACGCAGCTACGACAAGCGTATTGCGGTTACGCCGAAACGCACGGCCACCGCGCAGCGGGCAGCCGGCTCTGATGATAGTGCAGAAAATAGCGTTACGCAGCAGCCAACAGCCTTCTGACATCAGGCCAGTTTTGACTCCGCGATGTAGACACAGTATGTGGTAATGAAATTAACTACAGTGAGCTTACACATTCAGTCAATGGCTCTGGATGCGATGCCTTCACACCAGTTGGAGAAATTGACGTGTCAGTAACGCTACGAAGAGAAAAAAAAAGCGACCCAGTACTATTGTACTTATAGAACAGGTGTACATTGTGTTACTGGTAATTTCAAGTGCTGCTTAAACATTTCTTTCGAAGTAGTCTGGTGCACAAGCTAGAAGAACAGGTAACTACGCATCACAAACACGGTGCCCTACCATGAGGTGAGCGTCGTCAAGGCCAGCCTGTTTACCAAGGCGACGCTGTACATAACTGCCAAACCAGCTCGACTTCACTAAAAAAATTTGCCGCGACAGATTTAGCTTTCAAAGCTTTTTTAGCCGTGCATTCTCTTCGAGGTTATTCACAAACGAACAGTTTTTGTATTTTGTCATGCCATCGCCGCTGAACGCATAGCTTTGGTAACACAGTTTACATAACAGACATAACATAGTATTAGTAACAAATTAACCTTGCACACTGTAAACGTTGATACAAGGTACTTCATACCCAACAACCTGAGACGGCGACAGAGCAGTGCAACTATGAATGCAAAAACAGCGTAGCGTCTCCAAAGAAGGAAACACGTAAAAATACGCACGTTAGTAAGTGAACTAGCTGTGTTAATCTCTAAAGGTGAAATTTGTTAAAAGACGTGACCCGAAGGCCAGGCCACTTATTATTTCAAAAAATAAATGAAACGCAATTGTGATAGCCCGTGATCACAGTCGCAGCCCGTAATGTCAGTCGCTTGCCACATCAAATGAAAATATTATTTGACAATGATGGTCCATGCTTCTCGTTCGTGATCAGTCGTACGTGCGACCATGCTAACGTGCGGTACGAATTCGACTCTACGCGTTCGGTTGCCACGAACAACGAGAGTGATACCGATACACAAAGAGTGATCCAGCAGACGGAAAATAATTGAACCAGAAGCCGGAGCCAACCACGTGTATCTAATGAGCCTGTTACGTTGACAGCAGAGACGCCACCGGAGACATGATTGCAGCTAATAACACGATTGGAAGCCTGTAGCTGATGGCTACGTGTTGGATGTCTTAGTCCAGCCCTGACCGCCAAAATACTGATTTTTTTCAAGCCTTCATTGATGCCACTCCCTAATCGGAATCATGCAGTAGCATGAGAAACTTCTTGCGGACGGCAGTATACATATATAGGCATCGCCACGCAATGGATGACCCCAGTAAAGCAGGTCATTTTCCACCGCCAGCTCGTATACCACTTTTAATATTATTCTGATAGTTGATCTTTTTCACACCCAGTGGTCAACCACTGCGGGTGTATTTGCATACTTGAGAGATGGCATCGTCTCTAACCATTATTGCTTGAAACTGTGTACTTGGCACAGCAACGATGTCCTGCTAATCTATGATAGAACGACTGGCGTAAAGTCCTCCAGTTACAATGCATGCTGTAAGGTTATTCGTAAACAGCTTAGTTCATCAGCGTTTTACGAAAGTAACGGTACCTATTCGCGGTGAGATCGGCCTATAGGTTGCAGCACCGTCCCCCACAAGTGTGGATAGGCGGTCGGCGCGCATACAAATACACACAGCGGCGCTTTGTTGCGTGTGGTCTGAGCCAATTTTCGGCGGATAAAATGTGTTGACTACCGTTTACTGTAAATATCTATGCTCTTTTATATTGAATCGATGCACGGCGCCTATGCAACAATAGCATTACCCACGAGTAAAGCGCCTTCGCCATTTCATAGAGATGCTCGCCCTTTTAGACTTTCTCCACGCTTTCGCACTAAATCACGCCTTTGCTCTGTTGTGTGTACGTTGTTAGCTTGTGTTTGGCCTGTTACGCACTGCTGTAGCGTGACTGAACTACTCATTTACATCTTTGTCATCTACATACTACAAAAAAGAGAGAAAGAAAGATTCTAGAAATTCCGCATATCTGTGCAATTCCTTCAGTACCACCATTGGCACCTTATACGCATATAATCTTTTTTTTGCGATTCTGTCAACCAATAAATGTGGGACAGTCGATAAGTCTAGTCAGGAAAGCTTAAGAGCCGATGGCGCTTTACGCTAGATTGCGTTTACCCCATGTACGCACATGCTCTTGCATCAATAAAAATTTGTATAAGAGTTCAGCAGAAAGCTTTCATCGATGGATTACATGCCTGACAATGGTACAAGTTCAGGCCTGGTTAATCGGACAAGCATTTTTTTTCAGACAAAAAATTACCGCTGCTTTCCATCGGTCACTTACAATGCCCCACAAACGCTCAAAACAATGTAAGAAAGCTGAAAGATTCAGTAAAACTATACGACATTATACATAAGATATTCCATCTGAAATAATTTTCAACGTCTGGGCTCTTTAAAGAGTTTCTAAATATAAGCACTGGGTTGCGCACGGTAACTCTGTTTCAAGTACAGTGGAAGTACAGAGGTATCACAGGTTGTTACGTTTGGCCCAACAGTTGCCT